GTGCCACGCTAGTAGTAACAGGTGCCTTACTAGTAGTAACAAGAAGCTATTAATTTAAATTCAAGTTATTTATTTTTAATTCTAGTAGCTTCTTGTTACTACTAGTAAGGCACTTGTTACTACTAGCGTGGCACTTGTTACTACTTACTAGGAACAAGAACTCGCAAAGCCGGCCGGCAATGCCGTCTGTCCGGGATCGTCCCATCCGTCCTGTGCAGTCATGGGCCTTTGGCTTCAAGCACCTGGCACAGAATCCCAGACAAAGCCGAAAGGCCTTGATGTTTTTCTCAAACCCATGCTGCTTTGGGTGGTTTGGGGACTCTTGCTTCACCGTCTGAAGATCTGAAAAGCGAGGTTGTCGCCACTTTTGCATCGTTTGGCAACATTCCGTGAGCCGAATTTGCCCAGGCACGCTCCCTGTGCTGATGCTGGAGCAGAGGGGCAAAGCCTCGGATTGCGTCGATCGGCATCCGATCCCCACAGGTCGTCAGCTGCTTTAGTTAATGCTTTACTTTCTTTTGCGCGGCTGAACAAGACTCGTGTAGGCTTGGGCCTTCTCTTCTCCAACAAGTGCCAGGGCCCTGGCGAATTGTCTGGGCAACATTGGCTCTGCTGGCACGAGGTCTTCCTGGGCGGATGGAGGCAGTTGCCACCATGTCTTGGAGGGACACGCCAGTCACCATTGTTTGAGGCTTCTCTTGTTGGAGATCATCACATGCTCCAAAAAACATTATGCAAAATGCTTTCGCTAGGTCTCACACCCATCAGGGCACATAACAACACTGCCCACCGGGCAGTGGCCATCCTGTCAGGTTGGATCTTGATCTCATTCCTTTATGGAACTTTGGCAGGAAATTTACAAATGGAACCAGCCGGAGTCAAATGGTTTGGGATTGTACATTGATGTTTGGTGTTCTGCCATTGTCCTAAACATTCAACGTTAAAGAGTTTACAAGTGGAAAGTCCATCTATCAGAGGGATCTTCGCACGCTGCACCTTGCTCTTCTGCACTTTCTTCATGGCCTGAATGCGCCCAGCTCTGAAAGTCACTGAAAAATCTGAAGAGCGGACAAGCATTGACGGCTTCCAAGCCCCCGGCTGGGTCGTCGCCATCCGTGCCCCTGCGGAATGATCGAAATCTCAATATTCGGAAGACTGTCTGAATTTTCAAGCATGTCACAGTCCATCACGTTCACCCTGAAAGTCTTGAACTTTCAATGACAGAAGGCGTGAGTAGCTTGAAGCCTCAAAAAGTATGCCCGCCGCCTGCAGGCGACCTGCTTTGGAGTCTTGCACATGGGGCTGGAGTAGAAGGGCGCTGAGGGGCAAAGCCTTGGCCGAAAGGTTACTCTGGGAAACCCGAAGAATCGAATTGGAAAAACAAAGAGTTGAAACATTAGTAGCGTCCTTGCCCCCAGTACGGCCAGGAGCCCCTAGCAGCGTCCCTGCCAGGAGCCCCTTGTTCCTAGTACGGCCAGGAGCCCCTAGTTCCTTGCTTCTAAGGAAATGTATAAAGAAACATGCAAGGCACGCGGCTTGTTCTTTCATGTTCTTTTGGTTACTCCGGGAAGCCCGTTCTCTTTCCAAAGCTCCGGACGACCCGTCTGGGCAGCAAGATTCGCCAATGCACCTGATGCTCCTTGGAATTCAAAATGCAATCCAGACGCACAAAATGTCGCTCTCGGCTCTCAAAGAGGAAAGAATAAACAAGGCAGGCTGTGCGCCTGATATGGCTAGCTCTTTTGCCTGAATTGAGCACTGCACTGTGCTGCACACCTTCTTTTTGTTGCAGCAATGCAACTGCTCCTATGCTGCTACGCGTTTTGGCAGCAACTAACCTACACGCTCTACAACTAGTGCCAGTTCGCCACAGAAACAGCAAACGCTGTGATACACGTGCAACTGCCGCAGAAAGACCTCAGTGCTTTCCAGAACATTGCTCGGATGCTCAGAGGGAAAGGATTGCCAAAGGCATCAAAGGCACATAAAAATGATCATCAAGAAGAAAGGCATATTGCCAGAGCAAATGGTCCTCGGCTCCACTGAGATTGCTCCGTTCGTAGCGTCCTTGCTCCTAGTAGCGATGCCAGGAGCCCCTAGTAGCTTCTTGTTACTACTAGCTACTTGCTCCTAGTAGTACGGCCAGGAGCCCCTAGTAGCGTCCTTGCTCCTAGGGCCCTTTTACGGCATCCCCTTGCATCTCTTCTTTCTTCGACCAAAGACCCTAGAGATGCCAAGAGTCCCCGCGATGCACCGCCCAAAGACCCCGCAATGATGGTCAAAGAACCTCACACAGCGCCCGCAGGTCCTGGCCAAAAGGAATCTCAATGCGAAAACGGCAAACCTCTGAAGAATTCTACGAAGGCGACAAAAAGGGAAAACAATGTGGGAGGAGTCCAGCCATCCCTTTGACCAGTTTCTTCCTTCCCGTTGAACTAAACTGACCCAAATGTTCTATAATTGACATTGATCGACAAGAACAACTTTACATTGATCGACAAGAACAACTTTGGCATCGTCCTTTCTCAGAAGGGCAGGTGACCCAAAGCCAAACTGCGTCTGTCGAAAATGTGTCCTTCCTTATTCCCGATCCGGCACCTCCCTACAGGCACCAATGCCAGCGTCCCCTATCTCTCTGGCGACACATGGAGATTACACCACGTGAACACTCACAACAAGGCTTTTGACTTGCTTCCCACCCCGAGCACGAGAAAACTGAAGCGAAGCCGAGATGTTTGGGTGCGTTTTGTTGAGTTTCCAGTGCCGGGATGTGTGACCGTAGGGTTGCTTCGGAGATATGCTTCCGGGGTATGCTTCATCTACTTGGAACATCAGATAATCTGAACATGACAAGAAATTTTGTGGTTAGGAACAGCCTTCCCGCATTCATCAGTTATTCATTGAAGTTGGACATCCCTGCGCCCCAGTGAGGCTGACACAAAGCCTGCAGTTCGACCAACCTCTTTTGTTGTGGAGATGTCTCAGTCTTAACAGCACCAGCACAAGTAGAAAGGACACTTTCTTCACTAGAAGGTCTCTACTAGTCTTTACAATTTGTGCAAGTCCTGCATCTTTGAACTTGAAAATAACAAGAAAGCTTTCTAGTAACTAGAAGCTTCCTTGGGAATCGTTTCACCTGTAGTGAAAAGAAGCTTTTTAGATATTTTTAGATCTTTTTAGTATGTCTTTGATCGCTACTAGTAACAATAAAATTGTCTGTAGACGTCTTTCGATTCCTCCGACCGCATTTCGACTTGAAAGGTTGGCGAACGCTCTCGCCTGCAGTGGTGGCTGTTGCCGCTTCGAAAGCCCGGCACAAAGACCAGCCATCGGACAACTCGTTTCAGCTTCTGCACCGCAGGGGCCTATGCAAACTCCCAAGAAGTGGAAGAATCCTCTGACATGCTTTCTTCGCTTTTAGGTTGAAGCCCATCGCCAGTAGGTTGGAGGCCGGTGCTATTAGGTTCGAGGCCATCGCTAGTAGGTTGAAGCCCATCGCCAGTAGGTTGGAGGCCGGTGCTATTAGGTTCGAGGCCATC